ACTCACGCAGCACATACAATGATGCCTAATGCAGGAAGATCACAGGTTGGGGTGGGGTGGGGTAAAGAGTCTTGTGGATCCAGTGGTGGTGGAAGCATCTCAGCACTGGCGTGGGTCTCCACGTGGCTCCTCCAGCTCTCTGAGTGTGGCTCCTCCACACGGCTCCACGGGGCTTGTCAACAGGAGGTTGAAAGCAGAGAGTGTGACTCACCTTCAGGGAGAAAGGGAGGAAGTTCCCAGAATCCTCATGAGAAAGCCACACTGACAGGGAGACATTATCAGCTGTGACCTGATTGACAGGCTAGACTCCACCCCTTCACTCCTCATATCCTCAAGTTGACCCGAGATTAAGTAACTGCCGCGAGAATCTAAACAAAACATGCTGCCGGGAAGATGGTTCCAACTCACAATGACCCCATGTAAGGGTTCAGAGGTGAAAAAGCTTCACTGGAACAGACAGCCTCGTCTCTCTCCCACAGGGCAGCCAGTGGGTTCGAACAACTAACCTCGCAGTCAGCAGTCCACTGCCTGACCCATAGTGCCACCAGGCTCTTAAGCATAAAATAATATGTGATAAATACTGTTGTCAATTGCTCAACTGTAATAATTCTTAGATGACACAGATACCAACTGCAGAATTGGTTTGTAAAATCTGCCTGCATCGAATTGAATCACAATGGTATTGGTCACCAAGCAGAGGCCTTTTATGATTTCTCTCCTCCTTTTTGACCTTTAATTATGGCTTCCTCCTCAAACTTATCCATACAGGCTCACAAATACTAATTATCACAAATAATAATGATCGCCAGAACGCTTTACAAGATCAGCGACTGTGTACATTAAAACGCGACGGCATTGAACACCAGCATGCGCTTGTGGCACGTGCAGACGAACCCACCGGACTGACACACCACTGTAACTGGGTCTTCACGGCAGCTCTGGCCAGGGCACGTTACAACATTCAAAAAGTAAGCTTGTCTAGAGATGTAGGCTTGTCGCCACACTGCTAATGTAAGCTGGTTTACATCAACAGGAAAGGTTTTGTTGATGTAACTAACGACCGACCAACGTGGTTTTCTGAAAAATAATAGATTTCCGCCGAGACACCACAAAGACGGTTCACAGGCAGTCCTTTTGACCTCTGTGCCTCTGACAGGGTCGCGTGGGACAGTCTGCACTCTCACAGCCCCCAGTGATGTCACCGGCCGAGGGGCCAGTTTGCCGGGAGGGGTGAGATAGAGACGTCGAAGGCCTGACATCATCGTTCAGAAACCTGTGGGATCGCAGCCGTTTCCTCACCTCCCCAGTCTCATTTTCATCCCCTGTACAGTAGTGATGATATCGAATTTACAGGACAGCTGGGCTCATTCCAGAGTCTTCTTAATATCACACACAAGTTAAAACAACAAAAACTGAAGGTAATTCGCAACCGTTGCAGCAGGACATCTTCAGGGAGCTACCAGAAATTGAAGATGCATTCAGATGAGGCCATGGGACGAGGCACATCACTGCAGACATCGCATGCATCTAGGCGGAAAACAGAGAATACTAGAAATAGGTTTACTCCCCACCCCTTTTTTTGACTATGCAAAGCCATTCCAGGTCATAAAATCATTAGGGATAGCATTGGGAAGAATGGGACTTTGAGAGCCCGTGCAAAACCTACACATGAACAGCGAGGCAGCCTTTCACACAGAACAAGGAAAGACTGCGGTTGAAAAGCATTTAAGGTGTGTGTCAGGGTGTATCTTTTCACCATACCTCTCGATCTGTGTGCTGAGCAAATGCTCTAAGAAGCGGATTCAATGCAGAAGGGTGCGTCATCAGGCCTGGGGGAAAACTCACTGAGAACCTGAGCTGTGCAGACAACACACCCTTGCTTGCTGAAGGTAAAGAAGGACTTGAAGTACTTACTGATGGAGACCAAAGACGACAGCCTGCAGTAAGATGCACACCTTAGTGTAAAGGAAACAACAATCCGCACAACTGGACCAATACGCCACATCAATGGCAAATGCAGAAACGATCACATTTGTCAAGAACTGCATTTTACCCGGGATCCACAATCAATGCCCAATGGATGTGTGAATTTGGGGGATGGTGGTAAAGGATGTGGGGGACCCGGAGGAGGTCATGTGTCATCAGGGAGAATTCAGTTTGACTGCAGGGGAACGCATGCCCCAAACACTGCATAGCGTGGGCACTTCCTGCTCTTCCTGATCAAAGTCTGAAAGTGGTGGCCTGGGGCTGCTATGGTGACCATGCACTGCCTGATTCTCTGAAGCCCAGGCTCCTTCTGATCCCCCTCCACCCGTTTTCCTGCCTTCAGGGTCCAGGATGAGGGCGATCACACTCACATTCAGGAAGCAAGGTGGAAGATGAAACCGTCCAAAGGGTAGAGGGATGAAGATGGATGCCCAGTCCTGCCTCTGCTCACACGTCATTGGCTGGACTTTAATCTCGGGCCCATGCCTGGCTGCAAAGGAGACTGGGAAAGGTAGTCTTTGTTCTGAGTCACCATGGGTCCAGCGAAAACAGCCATCTTTGTGGAAGACGGGAATTTGGTGACTGAGTCTGCTAAGTCATTCCAGGTGCCGACACACGGCTGCTCCACTTCTCTTGCAGGAAACAGAGCTTAACGTGTCTGCTCACGTGTGGCTGCCGACACATCCCCTCATCCTCACCTCTGTGTGCGGCCCCTCCCATCGAGAGATGAAGTCCATTTCCACCCTCTTAAATCTCAGTATTTTCCTTCTGTAGTTTCCCTATTTGTATTTCCTCTGCCCTAACAGTCCATTTTGGGAGCCCTGGTGGAGGTGGGGGCTACGAGTTGGGCTGCTAACCCCAAGGTTAGCAGTTTGAAACCATCAGTGGCTCTGAGGGAGAAAGAAGAGGCTTTCTACTCCCTGAAGAGTTATGGTCTCACAAACCCACAGGGTCAGCTCTGCTGTAAGCTCCGCTGCGGACTCACTGTGAGTAGGAACTGACCCAGTGGCAGTCTGGTTCACATGTTCACAACAAACCTGGCAGGGTCCCTGCGGTGCATGTTTTCTGCAGTTCCCTCTCTTGTGGAAGAGAAGCTTCCTTCATTGCTATTATGTGTTCTCTTCGGTTCTCTGGTGAGTCACAGCGAGATGTATGTAGGTATCTAGGGAGAGAGCTTTATATCATGTAACTGGACAGACGCAGGCAAGCTCCAGGTCTGCGGACAGATGCCGGGCCGGCAGCTTCTCCTGCTTCTGGTAGCCGCAGGCGCTGATGAACTCAAGGCCTGCCGGTCTGACAGTGGGCTTTGGCTCTCTTGCGCTGAGGGGTGGCAAGTCTACCATTTTGTTCCACGTGGCCTCTTGGTTCTGTCACCGCAGCTGCCACCATTTCTGTCCATCTCTTGCCATCGGTGTCACCGTTCTCGTTTCCGGGATCAAAGGGAAACCTTGGCTCGTTTGATGGCTTGCTTTGATGAAGAGAATGTGGACGCGGTGATGGCAAGGCCAGTTCCAGGGTTAGGCCTGAGGTGGCTTGGCAGCTTGTTTTTCTGTCTTTCAGAGCCCTGAGTTGTCATGCAAATATATCTGGCTATCCTGCTAGGAGCCTGGGCAGCCCCTCTCTGTGGCAAACATCACAGCCGGGGCATTACCCAGGTGAGAGATGCCATCTTGGACTTTCTAGCCCAGGTGAGCTTCCAACGGAGAGGGCGTGCATAGCTGAGCCCAGCCACCCCCAAGTAGAACAGAAGCACCACCCAGTGAGGCCAGCCAACCCCAGGGATCATGAGAAACAGCACATTGCTGTTTTGAACGATGAGGCTGTGGGTTGGTTTGTTACTCAGCAGGAGCTGACTGAACCACGCATTTGAGCAACTTTGCACTGTCAGGAGCAGTCAGGGGTGTCTCATCGAACGAGGGCTTTATTGAGAATTGTGAGGGAAGATGAGTGGAACATCAGAACGGAGGCTAGAACAAGGAGGGAAAGAAATCTGTCTCAGCACTGGAGGTCCTGGGAGGCTGGCAACTCACCTTGAGAGAAGAGAAAGGTCAAGGCCGAAAGTCTAGCTCTGGAGCTGATGGGTGGTGGATGGGAAATGCTCTGTGTGAGGTCAATGGTCGACAATCAGATGTCCATCAGCCCAGCGACCTTTAGGAGGGAGGCAGAGGCTGGGGTGCCCTAACACCCCAGGCAGAATCAGTCACTCTGGCCAGGAGTAAGACCTCCCATAGCTCACCAGGGAAAAGTACTGACTAGATGTCAGGGATGGTGAAGCACCGGAAGGCTGGGCTCGGGCTGAGACACAGGTCTTCAGAAGCAAGGCGGTTGAAGGCCTGGAGCAACAAGGGCTCCACATTCAGTGCTTCCACCCGCCTGCTTTTCTTCTTTAATTTTCTTGTTTTATTTGGGGTTTACCCTTCTGAATTGTCTCAGTTCCTTTTTTGGACGTGGGTGGGAGGCATGTCACCGATGCCTGAGAGCCCGATTCTCTCTGGGGAGGGAGCTGAGGGGGCCTCATCTGGCACGACCTGCTCATCTCCCATGAGGTTCCTGTGTGTGCGTGCACGCGAGCACGTGTGTGAACATGTGCCTGGAGTATCTGAGTGTGAATGTGCGTGCCTGAGCCGATGTAGGAATGTGTCTGTGAGCACTTGTGAGGGTGGTGTGAAGTGTGTGTGTGTGTGTGAATGGGCTTGCATGAGTGTGTCAGAGCAGTGTGCTGCCATGGGATCACGAGGTGTGTGAGGTGCAGGCATGTGATTGCGTCCCTAAGTGTGTCCTGAGTGTGTGTGTGTGAGGAGGACTGAGTGTGTGACTCTCCTCCCCACAGTCCCAGAATGGGCTTCCAAACACACACAAGGCTCTATCAGGTCACCCATGGAAAAGGCACTGCAGGGGTGCCCCATTTTCCCACCGCAGGCCTACAGCACGGCCTGGTAACATGGCCCTGTGGGACGCTTGCCCAAGTCACCCTCTGGCCCTCATCCTGTGCTCCCCCTCCCAGCATGGGTCCCAGGAGCCACAGGGAGGGCCGGGGAAGGCCAGGGTGCCTTTCGGAACTGAGTGTGTGGGAGTGCTGGCCGCCGCGGGCCAAGGACCGGGAAGCCGCTGACGTTCCAGAGACATTTGTGAACCCGTTTCCTGACAACCGTGCAGCTGAAAATCCCCAGGCTGCCTCCTTCCAGGACACCAAGGTCATGGCTGCTGCCAGGCAGATTCAGCCCAGGCAGGGCCCGCCAGCTGCTCGCTGCTGCCCTCCTCTGGCGGCCTGGTGCCTTGAGAGCGCTGAGAGGCTGGGCCCTCCGGCCCCAGAGCCCCGTCCTCGGGCTGCTGAGTGTCAACGCGCCCAACTCTGTACTGGGGCAGACCTGCTCCTTAGGGAGCCCCACCGGGCTGGAGATCCCTGACCACCATCTCCTCGATGTTTATTCCAAGTCTGACACTCGGTAGATACCCCGCTAAGTGTGCAGGAGAAAGTGGGGACGTGATCACAGAAGCCAGAAGGTCGCCCAGCGTCCGACCTTCCCATGAAAAACTGTCTTCCTATTAGGGCAACCGGGAGGTTGGCAGCAAGGGAGGGGGTCCAACCCTCTTCTACAGGGCACCCAGGCCTGTCCTGCCAGGTGGTGCTGAGCTGGCCACAGCAGGGCTGGAAGCTGACACACACAGACACGCCCAGGCGCCGGGAGGGTGTGTATGCAGGGCTGCCCAGACAGCTCCTCTGTACCTACCGCCTCTGCTTCTCCTCACCCCTACAGATGAGAATACCGAGGTTCAGTCACAGAGGTGGGACTTGCCAGGGGTGTCCAAACCACTCAGTGGGTCCCCCTGTGGCAAGGCAGACCCACCTGAGAATACCCCTTCCTGTGGCTTCTCGTTGTGTGCAGAGAAAGGTGGGAAGTCAAGTAGAGCACCCCACTCCCCAAAGAGATCTGTTCAGGGTGGTGACCCTGGTCCAAAGCCCTTGCTCACCTGGGGTTTCCCCCAGGACCAGAGTCCCTCCCAGCCTCTGTGTGTCCTGCAGCCCTACTGGAGCCAGCCCTGTTCCCTCCCCCCAGGCCTGTGATGAGCAGTGGCTGTGGGACACAGGTATCAGGTGCTGCTTCTACTTGAGAGGACTTAATCAGTCACTCCCCTGCTCCGAGGCCTTCCCAGGCCAACAAGAGAAGCACCCAACTATTGGGGTGCTAGCCACCCCAGGCCCACCAGTCAGCGCTCTCCTCCTTCTGGCCGGCCTACCCGTGTGCTCATGGACTACGTGAGGGCAGGCGCTGTGTCCACGTTCTCTGGGCCTCCCGGCTGCCCAGTAACACGCACTGAAGGAGCTGGGCTGTTTTGATCAGACCAGCGCACTCCTGTTCATGCTGATCAAAGCCACGGATTCGGCATGTGCAAGTCCAGGCACCGTGCTGAAGGCACTGGGGTACTCCTCTCTGAGTTCTCACCGCTGCCCTCTCAGGTGAGGTTACTGCAAAACCCATTTTCCAGAGGTGGAAACGAAGGCGCTCGGAGACAGTGCTTTGATAGAAACCACACCCAGGATCCCAGCAGCCCAGGCCCTGCTCACGGCCCCAGCTGGTGAACTCTTCCCGGTCAGCTCCCTCTTGCTGCCACCTTCCTCCATCTGGAACCAAAGGCCTGGTGCTTCTGCTCTCGCTTTGGACTCTGCCCCTGGGCAGGGCAGGGCAGGGCAGGGCAGCAGCTGAGCTAGCCAGGGAGCATAGAGGGCTGGGCTGGTTGGAGAATAGGACACAACTGCACTTTCATGTGGCTGAACAAGCCCCAGCAGGCTGATGGAAGTTCCGGAGTCTGCAGTTTTGAGCGGGATTTGAACTGACTCAGCACTGGGGACCCAGGCGGGGAAGCCAGGCAGGGAGATTAGCGTCACAGAGCTGCTGCCTGCTTGTCTGTACTAGGGGATGAGGACACCCACCGCCCAGCATCTTTGCAGGAATAAACAGGAGCT